GAGAGGAACTGAAGAAAGACAGCCTTCGTGGAGAATTGAAAACTCAGTCGTCCGATAGTAGTGCTGGAGAAAGTGAAATCGTGTATGCTTCTACCCTTAAGCCGGATGAGCAAAAGTCGCCTGCTGGAGCAACTGAAACTACAAATACGGCCCTTCTGGGCCCTATCGCGCCGCTGATAAAACCACCAATAGTAGCAGAAGCAGCGTTTAACGAAAGTAGCAAGACAATGGACGAGAAAGATTTGCCTCTTCCGGATTCAGTTGTGCAGAAACCGCATAATGTTATTTCTGGCAGCACAAAGGCAGCTAGTCCGAAAAAACGTTCAGCAACTGTAATTCCTTTAACTGTGAATCTTGGACCGGATACCAATACACCAACCAAGATCACGCCGCTTCCCAGCAAGATACCTCAGCCAAATCCGCCTAGCAAAAGGGATACTCCCGCTGCCACCTTGCTTGTACATAAGCCGACCATACTGCCGAACAGCCCATTAACGAAGACGACATCTACCGCGCAGACGCTGACCTCGCCGCGATCTCCTACCGTTACGACTATCCCGTTACGACCTTTGACGACAGCCAAGAATAGACCAACTGTGGTCGTGCTTTCGCCACAGAATGTTTCGAACTTTGTTAAGAAATCACAAAGCAATGAGGCTGGGGCCAGTAATTTGTCCTCGATTTCCGATGACGCCGCGACGGCTAGACTTCCATCGCCAACCACAGCAAGGTTGTCTTCATCGTTCCAGCCCAGAAGCGTTGAAGAAGCCGCAAACGCAGCGATAGCAGCCACGAAACTGCCACAGAAACCGAAGGATCCCAATGAAATTATCTCTGCCACAGAAAAGGCACTAAAAACGTCTGCAACGATATTGCCGAAAAAATGATAGATTCATCAATTTCACAATGTAGGCATCAAGTTTGTACTAATTGAATAGGCCATTATGGTTAACCTTTAGCTATCAAAGAAATAAATTTTACTAACCTCATCTGACTGTCGGGTATACCGTGATTGAATTACCACTATTTTGCTTGCAAATTTGCTCGAGCTTGGTAGGTAAAGAATTCAAGTGAGATCTGGAACAGTGAGTTAACATTTTGCTGATTTACAATGTGGCAATTTTAATCATGCAGAGTACAGTAAAAGATAATTACAACATGCATGTGCAAGACATATTGAAATAATAAAAAGGAATGGTTGTCGGAATAGGTGCAATCAAATGTCATTACTGCACGTTCAGCATCCGCGCAGGTTCATTTACGTATAATCTACTCCATGATCAGGAGATTCGACATCATCGTACATAAGTTTTCACTGCTCCGTAAGGAGAAGCTTCACCTCATCTTCTGAGTGAAACCACGTAGCAGCAACAGTGAAGCAATCAGAAATGGAATTTGGCAATTTTCCTGATTTAAGCTTTAGCAAAACGACGTAAGTGAAGGTAGTAGAATCTTTTAGCATCTCGCACTTGACAAAATTTACGCTTGGTTTCTAGCCTTGCGTTTTCTCTAGCTCTGTCCAAGCTTCAATTGTGAGCTTCCTCATAGCAACTACTTTGAGAATGGTCTCCCTTACT